AGAACTGCAAAATTGTAAATGTTTATATATTAAATACTTTAAGAAATTATTGTCTAGCATTTCTTCTATTGTTCTGAAAATCAATATCTATATAGATAAAATCAATATCTATATAGATTGGCATCTGCTGCAATCGTTAACAAGACACTATTGCAGATTTGTAAGTTTAGTCAGTTTCTACCTAAACGGATACTCGATTTTGATGTCCTGTGCCTGACTTGACTAAGTTGTGTAAAAATCTACATGCAAACATGTATTCCTTCTATAGCGTGATGATTAACAAATTAGGTTTTCAAGATATTGTCAATGAATTCCTTTTTTGCTATGAGTTCTATTATTGTAGTCTTGTGTCAGACTTGACAGGTTCAAAAATGAAGGATTCCTACCATATCTGGGTTGCTCGATACTCACTTTACAGCTTTTAAAATCGCTTATGTGGTCTTGTGGGTTATTCCTTCTTTTCCATCTTTTAGCCTCTTTCTTCTACAGATGCCAGCCTCTCTATTGCCATGGCAAATATTCAGATGAGCTTCATTCTTTAGTTTCACCAGTGCAGACCTTTACAATTAGGACCCGTCTTGCTACTTCCAAGGAGCCGAATCAGTCTCATTTCCCCCGTGTTCCAAAAGTTCCTAAGAACAGACACTTTGTAGGACAAAATCCTATGTGGTTGCTTCCTTGAAAAACCCAGCCTTAAGGGTCAAGTGTTTATTCTCCTTATCCTCATAAAACCCACTTCCTATCCGCTTCTATTCCCTTTATATCACACTTTCATTCATCTTTACCATTTAGACTGTAACCCTCTATTTTGAATGATTCTCAAGCCTTATATTAAGTGAAATTCCGTGAAAGATATTTACATACAAGCATAGATTCCGGTGATTAGTAAGCTTATCTCGCAGACTAGTGACTTTCATCCTGACTGAGTACTCCACAACTGTGATCATGTGCCATGAGTTAAGTTATTAAATATATATACGCATATATAAGAATAAATATTTCACTGGCGAGATCGGCGTGAATGCCCTCTTTTCGTTGTCAAAGCAAATTCAGAGATAAATTACCCGCTGCTGTCATTTCATTGAAATCAGTTACAAAATGAAATCTCAGAAGAAAAGTAAATAAGAAAACTGACGTCGACAGAGGAAGAACATTGATGACAACGTGTTAGTCGCCGACAGTGTCCGCTTGGTAGAACAAAGACGAGCGTTCTGGTGCCGAAGATGCCACTCCAAAAATCAATGGTCGCTGTGCAGACGACAATATCGTGCGAGCAATCCAAACATCTGCGCCTGGTTTGTCTACTGAAGGGTTTTTGAAGCCTGCCTTTTGTGCTGAAATAAAGAAACCAAAAAAAAAAAAGGAAAAAAAAGGCACAGAAATTCACAAAAGAGAAAAGAAAAAAAAAAGAATTATCGAACATTGTTCCATGATTTTTCAGGAACTCTGACCTTGGTTCCATCGGCACATTGGCGCCTATGTATTCTGATTGCAATCGGCGTCGATAAGTGGTAACAAACAGGCTATCACGTGACGTTGCGCTGAGTTGATAACATATACGGGTCTTCGTGAGATAGAGACGCTGTTACAGTTGCAGTTTCAGCGTGGAATATCAAGAAATAAAAACGGTTGGGACATTCATTGACGTTGTGAACCGTTACTATTGCATTGTACATTTGCGACTATTCTTCTTCTATGTGGGCCAATCTAACATATAGGGCAGGTCGATTTTGGAACCATGGTATTGCACTCAATTTGAACGTTAGGGTTTGAAATGATAAATAACAACACAAAATACGTTTTTCAAATCGCTAACGCTTTTTATAAAGAAATGAGTTTAAAGATAAAGTTTAGGTTCAAAATCTTAGCATTGGAATTTAACTGCGATGATCGGTGAAAGCACAGCCTTATAAAATTTATAATTTACTGAAGCTTTAAAAGTTGTATATGGACAAGATGCATGGCACAATCACATTATGACTAAATCATTGTGCCATCAAATCGGAGGTTCATTTAATTCAAAGGGAAATTATCCTGAACAATTTAGCTATATTATGACGTCATAAAATGTAGTGAAATAGTTTTAGTGTGATTTTCAATAAACAATGCAAATTTAAAACATTATGGATTATAAGTTGTGGCCAGAAGTATTATGGTGTTATATACATTTTTATCTATTTTTTTGTTTTTATTAATTACGATCTAATAAAATATCTAACAAATCTTATTCATTCAGTAGCCATTTTTGTAATCTTTTACAATTTTTGGCAGAGTTTTTAATTATCGAATAAATTAAAAAATACATATTTTTCCTGTGGTGATTCACAATTACAATTCTGGTCTGAATTTATTTTCCATTCAATTGTATCTAATACAAAAGATATTAACTTTATTTGGATTTATTTTTTAAATAGAAAAATTTTGAAGTCTATAAGCTAAAAACTGCGGAAATTAGGTTTTTCTGTGCATTTTTTCAGGCGATCATTAAAACTAAACGCTCAAAAATTGGTAAAAACTATTAATCTAATTTTTGATACTATTACTTATCACATCAAACCCCAGCTTATGCACTGAGTGCAATATTGATTTTCTACAAAAATTGAAAAATCAACCTACCTTAATTTAATAATCCACCAACACACCGGTCTGTTATTCTGAAAATCAATTTTGTAGGCAACTCTATTTTTCAATATTTTTTTAAGCCAGGATCCCGAAAAAGAATGACGGTTACTCAAACAAGAGCCATTAATTAATGTAAATTCATAAATTAAGTTAAAGTATATTTTGCATCGGAATTTATTCTTACCGGAATTTTCGTAAAACCACATTTGTCTTGCTGAAAACGATGCAAGTAATTTATTCAATTAAAAAAAAAAATAATAATGTTGCATTTATATTGTGTTATATTTAAAGCAATTAGAAACAAGAAAAAGGGTACTGAGGTGTTATATAATTTCAGTCCTGCTGTATGTCAGTGAATGCTAAACAATATTCCCACAGATGAAGAAGATACTTGAAGCGACAGAAACGTGGTTCTACAGAAGGATGCTGAGAATACCATGAACTGAACACGTGGGCAACGACAAACTTTTAAAGAAATTGCAAGCAAAAGGACACTTATAATTAGCATCAGAAAGAGAAAAGCTGAAAGTTCTAGAGCACATAATGAGGAAAGAGAACTTAGAAAATTTGATACTCACAGGATATATTGAAGGCAAGAGTGACAGAGGAAAATGCATGGTACATAACTGACTGACTATGAACCCAGGTCAAGATGCCATCCAACTGCCGAAAATGTCCCTTTGATGGACTTTTAGGTTCTTTCTTAGGCGCAAATCGGTTCCAGTTTTTATCTTGTTTCTTTAGACGGAAGTGAGTACTGTTGGGTAAAAATTCTGGATTCTATTGCTTTTATTTATTTATTTTGAATGTGTGAGTAAAAACGGAAGGTATATGCTGAGCCTTGCGCAGTTAACAGAATTTTAGTTTAGTTTTAGGGGTATTCAGAGCGTTCACATGTGGCTAGTGGTGGAAATTAGTGTAGCATGAATCAAAAGAAGATCTGGCTTTATGAAGAATGTAATATGTGTGAAGCGTCCACAGACCTTTTTTGGTTTGAAAAGTTAATGGCCCATGCTTCGAAAGAGCGAAAAACAGGAGAAAGAGAGTTACTGAAGGGTTCGCCTGTTTTTATACTCTCTGGGCTGCTGCTGATAATATGTTAATTAAGGCAGTACACTAGTTAGGATGATAAATTCGTCGTCGTTACAATTGGTTCCTCAAAACGGAAATTACTTATGACTCAATTTAATAATTGGTCGAAAAAGAGTAACAATTCCAACCCGTCTGATATATGATTGTCCATATTCAAGACGTTTCGGCCGTTATACGCTCCGGCCTTCTTCAGGCTCTCTATATTTCTGAGATGAGGCATTGTAACTATTTACACTATTTATATTGTTCGTACTGTTGTCCTCATTTTTATTACCATATTCACGATATTTCGGCCGTTGTACGCCCACGCCTTCTTCAGGCTCTCTCTATATTTCTGAGATGAGGCATTGTAACTATTTACACTATTTATATTGTTCGTACTATTGTCCTCATCTTTATTGTCATATTCACGACTTTTCGGCCGTTGTACGCTCCGGCCTTGGTTGATAGATCCAAAAAAGACTTGACCCAAAGAGTTGCCAGTTCAATATCTGGACACAGCAGATGGAGCATAAAACTTGGAGAGTTGAGTTACTAAGGAGGATTAACTGAAACTGAGATATCCAAAAGCATGGCACGTGGAATTAGAACAATATACCCCGGTGGGTGTAGAAGAAGAAGCCCGGAGCGTACAACGGCCAAAACATTGTGAATATGGAAATAAAGATGAGAGCAACAGTCCAAACAATGCAAATGGTGTAAATAGTTACAGTACGTCATATCAGAAATATAGACAGATGTTGAAATAAAATATTCTACATTTCCTGCCTGACATGTTTTCGCATTTTCTAAAGAACAACAGAAAAAGCCACAATTCACATCGACTAATCACCCATCTCTCTCTCTCCCTCATAGACACATACTCACTCACTCTCACTCACTCTCTCTCTCTCTCTCTCTATCGCACTCTATGTAAGTCTCCAAATATTCCATGCTTAGGCTTCCATTATCATACGGTACCCTTACCTCCCAAATACTAGTAAATGTTGGCAACTCAACGCATAATCAATTATTATTATGTGGTAATATCGATTCGATACTCATGTATCAAATATATATGAAGTCTTTCCGAATCGTCTAACACTGAAAAATCTCTAAGGAAAATATAAATAAATAAACATTTACGGATATGAAAATACCGCAATGGAATCTCCTGTATCGAATACAAAAGTCTCATCAACTCTTCATGAAATTCTGACCATCTGTTAACGACAAAAACTAAATGACTGGACAATCCAATGTCCCCAGCAGATAATTACTCTTTCAAAAGATCTTTATGTGCGCTAATGTATCGATTCTGTTTCTTCCTAACAACGACTACTGACTTCCAAGGATCGTTTTTCGGTACCGGAAGTTACTTTCTAAACCACATTATCCATTCTTGGTCGATGGTAGCAATCAATCTATTTTCATCATACACTCCGTCGCAACGATGGACTGATTACGTAGAAACCTTGATACTTTATTATTTGTTTCGTTGGGATGGATTTCGTTCGGAGAACCCAATCAGCAGAATTCGTCAAAGTTACTCCATGTTCGGGGTAGCCATAATAAAAGACGGCTGAACATCAACCAATTCCTACATAGCAGACAATGACTTGACCGTTGCTAAGACAACCACTGGCAATCAAGCGATACAGAGACTAGCGCACTTGTTAACATCCGGCCAGAATTGTAAGCAGCCCGGAAGTTGGCGCACTTAGCGGTTTTCAAAAATTGCGCTCGGGATTATTACAATGTTTAATTTATTGCATAGAAATCGAAGATGGATGAGTCATAGGCAATGAATTTTACATTTATGGATATTTACTCTTGGTTGAAAATGTTTTCTTTTTTTCTTTTCTTTTTTACTTTATTGTAAAGAATAATATAAAGACATTGATAATATATCAGAAAAACATATACACCTCTAAAAGTCTTGACGATTGGAGATTGACAGTTGACTTCTCTTCCGAACTAACACTAACTTCCCAGTGGGGGGAAAATGGCTGGATTTACATTCAATGTCTCTAAAAATCAAACTGTTTACATCCCATCACCGCCGATCAGACCCCAAACTACCGTCTGTCGTGATGAATGGATGTCCCCTCGAGCAGGCCCAGTGCCTCGAGAGGATATTGGGCCTCAAACTTACACCTGACTTGAATTCCTATATACATTCCATTTTTAAAGATGCAGGTAAAATGATCGGCTCTCTGTACCAGTAAGTACCTGATTTCTCATGATATCCTTTACCTTTATAAGAGCCAGATCAGGCTGAAAAAAGGAGTACTGTTGTAGAGTATACCGTTATCTTCCCCTCCTATCCCTATAAATTACTCCTTATCGTAGCCCTCTACCTCGAGTGGCCCCGAGCCTTGTACAGGATGAACCTTACTGTAAAAAATAAAAATAACGCGCTTCATGGCGCTTATAAGTAATGCTTCAGCAACTTGCTGTGACGCATGCATTACTGAAGACTTGACTCCAAACGGATACTATTTTCCAAACCTCTCAATGAGGCAGGATGTGCCACAAGGCCGGTTTTTACGCGAGGTGATTCTGAGCCCTCAGGCTCAAGCAACAATTCCCCGTAGACCCCGCATACACGGGGTAGGGTTTGTCTACAGGACGAGACTCTGTCCGTAGGCATAGCCTCGTCTGGGGTTCCTCTCTGCCTTCACGCAGAGAGTTCGACAAATCAGCCGCAAGCCTGACATCGAACTACCCAGCTCCATGACTCCTTTATTCTAAACTTTTCACATTCTTTGTTGACAATACCAGCATACGTGACAAAATCTTTGTCCTCTTTTTTGCACATCCAACGAGACATTTTTGTCCCTAAAGGTTTTCGTATGTGTACCGTGTCTTCAAACCCGATTCCACCTCCTCGACAACGGAATATGAAATAAATTAGTATGATTGTACAAGACATGTCGAGACATAGCTGTGAAAGTCTAGTTTGTTGACTCCAAGAAATGTAGCTTGCCCGAATATTTGCTATAGAGTATCGGGAGGCTAGTAAATGTTACGTCTGTGCGGAAAACAAGTTATACGTGGAAAACATTTCATCACCCACAAAGCCGCGCAAATACTTTTAAACTCAGTTATTGTTGAAAAGTAAGTACTGAGCAGATTCAGCCCAGATGTGGCAGCAATACTCCATTTTGGGTTTGATCTAGGTCTTGTAGCGATAAAACATGATAGAGGTGTCGGAAACTTTCTGGAGCGGTACAGGGAACTGACCCCTTTTCAAGCGTTTTTTAGTAATTGGTCGAAGTCTGGCGTTTAGTAATTGGCTGGTGTGAGGTTCCTGGCAAGAAACCTCATTAAAAATACAACCGGCCATCATCACTGGAGGAAACTGATGATGAAATACTACTAGTTTGGTGTTGGGGGTATTGAATGTTACAAGCCAGTTCCTTCTCTATTGAGCTGTGCGAGGAAGATCAGAGAATAGATCAGCTGCCAGGTCATCTAGATTTTTGGTGATGCTCATATAAACCATGGATTCGTCTGCAGATATATTTAATAGTGATCCCATAATTTTTTTTTTTTTTTTTAGGTAGAACGTTAATATAAAACAGAAACAAGGGTAGGACCGAAGAAAGAGCTTTGAGGGACGCCTGTATCGATGGCTGGTCATTAAGAACAACTTTCACGGACCCTATCCGATAAGAAGGACTTGATAATCCAGAAGACTTTCCCAGAAATGCCATAGCAGCTCCCATATGCCCTGCCTTGTGAAGAAAGTGAAATATATATAAATATATAAATATATATATATATATATATATATATTTGTGTGTGTGTATATATATATATGTGTGTGTGTGTGTGTGTGTGTGTGTGTGTGTGTGTGTGTATATATATATATATATATATATATATATATATATATATATATATATATGAAGAAAAATTTGAAAAAACAAACCAAAAATCCTTAAATGCAATTATGTTGTTTAAAATTAATGAAATGTCGACGTCTGACGTTTCGGTTTAATAAACCTTCTTCAAGACAATATTCATTAAAATACAATTCAGTTCAATTTGACAAAGACGATGGACATATTGTCTTGAAGAAGGTTTATTAAACCGAAACGTCAGACGTCGACATTTCATTCATTTTAAACAACATAATTGTATTTAAGGATTTTTGTTTGTTTTTTTCCAAATTTTTCTTCATATATATATATATATATATATATTATATTATGAAATGGACAAAGTCCGACAATTATTTAAGACATTTTTTTATGTTTATACGTTCTTTTTATAGATACAAATATTTAAGTAAATGCTCTGTTTATAATAAACAGTATTAATAACATTTACTGGCCTGAATGTCCGAGAAATTTTCATAGAAAATATGCATCCTCCGACAGGAATCGAACCTGTATCCTATACGGAACCGTCATATAACCTGATGTGCCTTAACCGTTAAAAACACTAAAATCAACCTTGCTAACCAAACGCTCCTCTGTGGCCGAAACGGTTAAGGCACGTCAGGCTATATGACGGTTCCGTATAGGATACAAGTTCGATTACTGTCGGAGGACGAATATTTTCTGTGAAAATTTTTCGGACATTCAAGCCGGTAAATATTATTAATACGATAAACAGAGCATTTACTTAAATATTTGTATCTATAAAAAGAACGTATAAACATAAAAATGTCATATATATATATATATATATATATATATATATATATATATATATATATGTGTGTGTGTGTGTGTGTGTGTGTGTGTAGTGGGCCGTGGCGGTTACCACTTGTTGAGGTTCGTTGCGGTTGTTATGTTGTTGACAGAAGTCAGACGTAGACGAAACGCAAGTAAGGTTCAGATACTCCTGCCCGCCAGACCCAACTACATAAAAAGGTTGGACTTTGATTAAGTCCAAAGAAGAAGGCAAAGAAAAGCAAACAAAACACAAGACCGATAATATATGTATATACAAATATATATTAATAACAAGTTACAATACATGGAAACAAGTACAAAGGACGAAGTGTGTGTGAATATTCTGTATGTGCGTGCGTGTGTGTGTATTGTGCTTAGCGTGTTTCCACGCTATCCCTTGTTAGCGCCTACATTTCGAGGTTGATAGCTGAAATCCTGAAAGAAAAAGAGATAGAGGTGAAGGTTTAGCGGCTATTTATAGCCAGGGAAGAGAGACCCCTGGTGAAAGGGTTAACAGAGTAAAGGAGGAGTTAACTCCGATATACATATATATATATATATATATATATATATATATATATATATATATATATATGTACAGATATTCAAGTAGTGCTGCCTTGTGTCAAGAGACCGGCAGCTGGAAGACCCCATATCTTGATTATTATGTGTGGGGCGCAGTTGAACGAGAGATCAACAAAACTCCTTGTAACACCAAAAATGAATCAAGGATTATGCCAGCATTCATCAACTTAAACAAGGGGACTCTCCAGAAGAGCTGCAGGAGATTCCGAAGTCTTCTGGAGGCCGTGGTTGAAACCAATTGCTACTCAATTCATGCTGATTTCGATTATCATCCAATCTAGTGTCGTTTCAATCATTCAAATAGAGAAATGCTTGTCTACTATTGGTAATAAAATTCTCTTGCTTAAGCCTGAACGTTGACAACTAACACTGGTAGTAGATACACAACGATCTCAACGACAATGCAGGCCCAAAACTTTTAATAGCTTAATACGGTATAACTCTAAACAGGAACAATTATGGGAAGAAAATTTGTATTGCAACAGTATTTTAATTGACCCTTTCTGTCTAGATTTCACCTCGGTTCAAGCATCGATTTCTGGCTTTAAGTAACTATTTCACCTCCATGGTAGACCGGATTCATGTTACTCTTAATAATTGAGTTTAATTTTGACAACAAAAATAAAACATCCCTTTTTATTTTGTTTAAATAGACAACGAAACGAAATGTGATTTCCACGTAAGAATCTTTGAAAATAGTTGAAGCCTTAATTATAACAATATTTAAACTGGTTTAATGAAATAGTCTTTTAGTTTTCACAGATGAAAACGTTGTTGTTAGTGACCACATGTGCAGCGTTTAATTGAATAAAGTTGTTATTTCGTTAGGAATAAATGAATTATCCCCGAAGTATATTTACTTAATTAATTATGGAAAACGCGGATGATTTCTGTTCCTGGGCAAGTCAAAATGATCAGAACGTGAAACTATATGTAAAATTATGGCAGGCAGAAGACAATAGACGTATTGCAATATTTCTGCCCATTTCTCCTTATCTGACTTTGTGTCGTACTAAACTATGATTAGTGGATATAATTAGAAGCTAAAATGTTAAAAAGAAAAGAGAAAAAAGAGTGAAAGTAAAAATAAAGGAAATAAACGGTTATGATATTGCAGACAGAAAATAGAAGAAAGTAGATGGAAAGAGAAGGTAGGAGATAAAAAAACAGATGGGAGCAGAAGAAAGGGAGTA